TATTTTCATAAAAAAAATAAAATTATTTTAAAATAAATTTTAAACGCACTCAATGTCTTGACGTCTCTGTTTCAACTTTTTCATGTGAAGTTTCCTGCCTTTCCATGATATAACAGCAATAAATCTCTTGCGCGTCACACACATGCATGTCCACTTAAAAATGATATATCACGAGAAAGTTTACACGCTTTTTTCCCCCTTTTACCAAGCGTTTGCATGAAGAAAAGAATAACAATCTTATATTTTCTTGCTTACCGGGGAAATTTTACAGCGATTCTATTAGTACTACAAATTAATTTTTAAATGTAAAATCACATCAAAACATACGTTATCATACTCAAAATAAAATTAAAAAAAAAAGTAAACCGAAGTAACCTAATAAAAATTTAACAATCTACATGTATAGCGGTAATTATAAGTCATAAGATGATTCAATTTGCAACGTATTATGAAATTCTTCTCTATTTTCACCTTCTTTAAAGTCTTAATATGTATAAATCGTTCGTGTTGAATTAGTTTTTAATTTCTAACCGTCTTATTTGTAAGTATTTATATAAAAATTCATAGCTGGAAATTTAAAATTGGTCATACTCACACATCATATTATTAAAACACTAAGGTTTTAATCTTTTTATAACTCAAGTCACAACTTAAGTTCTATTTTTACAACATTTTTTCTCGTAAAAATTTAAATTTAACTTTTTTCTTATAAGTTTTTCTATCACATATATAACTCAATTCTTAATTTGAATTGTGAAATAAACATACCATAAATTTAAAGACCGTTCTTAGCACTAGGGTAAAACAATAGTTCTTACAATAAAACTTTCTCTGAATTGGGATCATATGTGAATAAAGTTTCTGTTAGGGAAAAAAATAGAATTATGGAAATTGAAAACACGTTTCTTTTTAAAAAAAATTTAAAATATTTTTGGCCTGGGAAGAATCCTAATACATTACGACTGTAAAGGCGGGTGCGTGCGTGTAGGACCCAAGATCACTAGGTGATAAAAAACCAAGTCCACGTCAGCATATATTTCTTTCATTTCTTTTATATATTTATTTTTTAGGAATGGAACATCAACATATATTTCTGGCCCCTGCCCACTATCGTTGTTGGTTAAATTCACACACTGTACTTTCATAAGTAAAGAAAAAAAAAATTAATATCGTACTTAAAAAAAGAAAAGAAAAGAAGGAAAATTAAATAGTGAGAGGCGAGAAGAGAAAGAGAACAATATTTGGAGCACCGTGAGTTTGACGACGATGTTGGTCTACAAATTCCCAATTCCGCGTTTGCGCCATCGCCACCACAACAACAACTACTACTGAATAAAGCGGAGAGTGAGAGTGGTGTGATTCCCTGTGACACGCAACACCCCTCACCGTTCCACATCCTTCTCACACGTCACACCCATCCTATTCCACCGACAACGAAACGCGTAAGCTTTCTGGGACCCACTTTTCCATCCTCTATTTTTTTAGTTTATAATTTTATAGGGAAGATTCTTTTTTTTTTAGTCTATAATTTTATAGGATGATTCTTTAATTCCGTAGATTAAATTTTTTTAATTATTAAATTTGTATATTTCTTAATTTTTATAAGATTTGATATATTTTTAACAGATAAAAAACTTAATTTATTTGTATATTAACATACCAGAAAAGAACCTCATTATTATTCTTTTTCTTATTTATTTATTTATTCTCGTTTTTTCTTTTTAATTAATTTATGTTTTACATGGACAGGGCTCTTCTTATCGTTGCACTTGCATGTGAGTACGTGAACTCTCTCCCGCGCATTTAAAAAATTCCCCTTATTAAAAAAACCAAAAAATCAAATTGATCTTTATTTTAGTTGTTTTTGGCATTTTTCCAGTGTGGTTCGTGTAGGTTTCATTATTTCATAGCCATCCACGATCCAACACGTCGGTGCTCAAAAGCGGTGTTGACTCTTGACTCGATGTACATTCAAGTTCGGATGAACTAAATTACCATCATACCCTTGAAGAGCATAATTTTTTATTATTAAAGCATAGCAATTTTTGGTAACGAGAATCGGTTATGTTTGGTGGAAAGATTCGTTTCTTGATTCGAATCATGATTTATGGTTCGTTATAATATTTTTTTTCACAAAAAATTTACATAAATAAAAAATAATTCGAATCACATGATTTAAATCCTCCTGTTTTTGGCATTTTTCCAGTGTGGTTCGTGTAGGTTTCATTATTTCATAGCCATCCACGATCCAACACGTCGGTGCTCAAAAGCGGTGTTGACTCTTGACTCGATGTACATTCAAGTTCGGATGAACTAAATTACCATCATACCCTTGAAGAGCATAATTTTTTATTATTAAAGCATAGCAATTTTTGGTAACGAGAATCGGTTATGTTTGGTGGAAAGATTCGTTTCTTGATTCGAATCATGATTTATGGTTCGTTACAATATTTTTTTTCACAAAAAATTTACATAAATAAAAAATAATTCGAATCACATGATTTAAATCCTCTAACTAAACGTAGCCTAAAGATTCCTTTTTCTGATTCTGAGAGCTCCATGTCATCTGACGCCAAATTAGGCCCAACGTATCACTCTCTGTCAAAGTTGGGGCGCTCACTCTCCTCCAAGTTGGGGCGCACACACTAGTTTTTTTCTTTTTCAATAATTAATTAATAATCTATGTTTCTATTTAACATTAAACTTTTTAATAAAAAAAAGTCTTGTTAATTTAATATATGTTTTTTTCCTAAGAAATTATTAATATATGTTAGAGTAGAATCTTTAAAGAGAGAGACGAAATAAAGGTAAATAGCTAGCATTTAGCAATTTGGACGGTTGTACAGCTGAGACAATTGCCAAAGGCCTTGAAATGATTATCATGCACTAATAAAAGAGTTGAAAATCTGTCTTTGATTCTCCCTTTTTCGAACCATGTTTAAAAGTTCACGGGTTAACTCCATTTTTTTTTTGGGTTACCATTACTAATTATTATCATTATGTTGGGGTGTCTGTAATTAATGCAAGTTGAAATTATACCGTGCATCTTGGCAAAATTTTTGAACCCTAATAACTATTCCCCAGAGATACCAGATCTAAGCTCCTTAATTTTCTGAGTTAATTCACAAGCCATTTATTAAAAACTGGGTTTTCCTTAGTTATTACAAAAGATTGATTGCATTAATGCAATGCACTATAATAAATGAGAGGAGGGGTCGGTAAATAAAATATTTCCTCCTATTCTATGGCAAATTAGTAGCAACATGATGCCATTTATTTATTTATTTTGCCAATGAAAGATGTAATTTATTTATTCACATGATAAGTTTTAATAAATTGATTAAAAATATATTTACAAAACGAATAGATTAATTAATTAAAAAACAAAAAAAAACAAAGTGAATGAGTGTCCGGCAAAGTGAAATCACAGCAAGTCAAAAGCGTATCCATAAAACAATCTTTTTATATAATTTTCACAAAGAAAAAACAATCTGATAATTTTCGATATCACACTGTCTCCGCCTCTCCCTCTAGCTCAGATCTACCACCGCTTCACACATGTCAGCGAGTAAATTTTTTTTTTTCCATTTTAACTTTTTTATTTTCGTGAAGAGAGAGAAGGACTTAAGTTATTTGTTAATTAATTAGTTAATTGACTAAGGATCTCCAAGTGGGGCTGATCCCGAAAAAGGCCATTGTTTTTGTATCGAGAATTCTAAACGTTCTTTCCTAGAGGCAGAGAGAGAGAGAGAGAGTGTGTTAAAAATAGACGGAGGAGAAACTTTCCAGTGTTAACTCTCTCTATCTGTAAAATAAGTCCGTTTAGTTCGCTGATTCGAGTTTTTAATTCGAGTTGAAATGTGATTTTATATGAGAATTTTTTACTGTAGCAAAAAAGTTAGATCTGATTGTTTATGAGAGCTTTTTACTGTAATAAAATTCAAATTCTAAACTCGAATCAACGAAATAAACGGGTTAGATTTTATTTTTTTCATAACTCAAGTTTTATTATTATAATATTTTTTTTATAAAAATTTAAATTTTATTATTTTATTATAATATTTTTTTCTCACAAACACAATCCAAATTCTTAACTCAAATTGTAAAACAAACATCCTCTTAATAATTAAAATTTTATATTTGTTTGACATATATATGAACACAAAAACGCGCTATTATTTTCCATAAAGAAAAAACAATTATACGCCAAGAATTACAGTTGGGTCCGAACATTACAGGTGAGACGTAAAGAGTAATTGTTTGTTTAATCGTGATATGTCATTTCATTTATTGTACATCTTTTTTTTTTTTGCCAGAATTATTGTATATCTTTTTCATATTAAAAGATTGTTTTTCTTTTTCTTTTTCTTTTATTTTTTTCTTCCCGTAAACCTTAACTAATATTCAGATTTCACGAGGACTGTCGTGATTGGATCGTCCAAAATCTCTCACTTCCCTCGCTCTATCTATTTCTCTCTCTTTCTCTGTCACTTGAGCAGCTAAGCATTTTAGAGAGAGAAAGAAAGAACAAAGAAGAACGAGAACGAAGAATTCGGGTTTCTCTGTGCTCATCTATCTATACTACAAAGAAGACAATAACAGAAGAAGAAACAAAAAGACGTTCTTTTTCTTCTGTGGCGTAACCCGAAAACCAACCAACCCATGAATTTGCGCTGATTCTTCCTTTTTTCTTCTTCTCTGCCTCCCCCAAAAGGTAGTTTTTCGCTTGTTAGATTCGATTTGATTTCGAATATAGTGGATTTGATAATGGGATTGGGATAAAGTTTTGGGTCAGTTTTGTATTTTGTAGCATTAATATTACAATCTTCTAAGTGGAAATGAGTTTTTGAAAGAAAAATAAGATTGCCCTTTTCTTATTTGAGGGTTAGGAAGATGACTGAAAGTGATCTTACTGTTTTCGTCATCTGTAAATGTATCTGCTTTACTTTCTTTCTCTCTCTCTTCCTTTATTTCCTCGAAATACTAATTTCCCTTCAATTTCCCTTTTTGTGCCACCTCTTTTCTCTTTTTCAATATACCAATACCTCGCAAGTTTAATTATTTTTTCCTCTTTGTTGACTGGAATAATTTCCTCAATACGTTCGATTTTTGCTTGGTCTATGGATCTAGTATTGAGAATTGGTACAATGATGTTCTCCGAGGATGCTGCTTTTCCTAAGTTGTTTACTTGGCTTTATCTGGACGAGAATTGCTCTGGGTTTCGCGTCAACTTATGTTTGAACTCTCTTGAGTGAAAAACCAATCCGGGTTGGTATGTTTGTTGGAATCTAAGTGGAGGACGTTTCTGGGTTTCTCTGTTTTTTCACGCTTCTACTTGTTTGGGATTAAAAAAAAAAAAAGTTGATGGCTACGTTTCTTTTGTTAGGATTATATTCCTTTTCACATCCCCTTTGAGGAACATAATGTGATTTTGTAATTTTTTTTTCTCCCCTGAAGGTAGGTTTTTTACTTGATTTACTGATATCCTCTCCTGTTTTAGTTCTGAATATAGTAATTTTTCGGATTTTATAACCCCATCTATGTTTTTTTTTTTTTTCCTGTTGCAGTTTATTTGTTGTCTGGGTTAAAGAATGTTCAGGCCTTTGCATCGAGGTATATCCGGGGTACGGATCTCCGGTGGCAGCAATAATTTTAGTGATTCTCAAATGATAGATAGAACAGAGAAAGAAGATTTGGATAGAAGAGGTTCGTCTGATCAGGGCTCATTTTCGATGAGGATGCCTCTTCGGGTAGTTTTCCCAGATAATAATTCTCCTTCCAAATATGGGAATAGTGAAAATGGATTTTCATCGGATTCCCTAATTTCCAACACTCCTAGAAACAGACACAAATTGACATTGCTACTCCTGAAGTTGAGTCTTGCATTGGTTATAGTCATTGCTCTTTTTGGATCATTTTGGTGGACAATATCCATTTCAACATCTTCAAGGGGTCACATATCTCTTGGTTATAGGCGACTCCAAGAACAACTTGTTTCGGACCTGTGGGATATTGGAGAGCTCTCTCTTGGTTCTTCAAGGTCGAAAGACATGGAATTCTGTCCTCAGGAGTTTGAAAATTATGTTCCCTGCTTCAATGTGTCGGAGAACCTCGAATCAGGTTTATCTGATGGGCATGAGTATGACGGGAATTGCCCACGTGGGATGAGGCAAAATTGTTTAGTTCTTCCACCCGCAAACTACAAGATTCCTCTCAGGTGGCCCACTGGAAAAGATGTAATCTGGTTGGCAAATGTGAAAATTACAGCACAGGAAGTACTTTCTTCTGGAAGCTTCACCAAGAGGTAGTGGGCGTTCTCTTGTCAAGTTGTCAATTGCTATCTTTCACTGAACTACTTGATCTTTCTCTAATTCCTCAAACCATTTACTTTCAGGATGATGATGTTGGAAGAAGAGCAGATTTCTTTTCGGTCAGCCTCACCCATGTTTGATAGCGTTGAAGACTATTCACATCAAATTGCAGAAATGATAGGTCTGAGAAATGAATCTAACTTGGTTAAATCTGGGGTAAGTGAAATGTTAAATTTTGTTTTTGAACTTGTTTGTGTACTGAACTACTTTGTCATGTTCCTTTTCTTGTTTGTGGCTGTCTCTCTACCATGTGCCTTAGTTCTGTCCGAGTATGCCTGTTTATCCAAGTCTTTGGCATATCTTGTCGTACATTTGAACATATTGAGCCAAGATCTCAATAAATAATTATATAAACCTTTGGCTGGAAAACTGTAGCCTTTTTGTAAATCCAAACTGTTTCAATCATATAATTATGCAGTAGATAATTCGAAAAGAATCACAACTTATACAGCACAGTGATGACTCCAATGAATCCTTGAACTAGTTTGCTTGCTGCTGTTACCAAAACATGTTACTATATGGGCTCCATGATCGACCATTTTTATTACAAAATCGAACATTTTGATTACATAGAAAATCAGCATATCATGCATGAATACGCAGATGTTACCCTGTTGAGTGAATCCCCTCGTGTTATCGGAAATGTTCCTTATAAATGTTTATTGAAATTTTGCAGGTAAGAACCATCCTGGATGTGGGTTGTGGTTACGGTAGCTTTGGAGCACATCTCTTTTCTAAACAGCTATTAACTATGTGCATTGCAAATTATGAGGCTTCAGGCAGTCAAGTTCAGCTGACTCTTGAAAGGGGTCTTCCCGCAATGATTGGATCCCTTACTTCAAAACAACTGCCTTATCCGTCTCTCTCCTTTGATATGCTGCATTGTGCACGATGTGGCATTGATTGGGATCAAAAAGGTATGATGCCTATACTAACCATGGTTATAACAAGAAAAATTGCTTATTGATGGAGTTTGTTTTGTCATTGTTTATAAATTTGATGCAGATGGTATACTCCTGATTGAAGCTGATAGAGTTATAAAGCCAGGTGGATATTTTGTCTGGACATCACCACTTACTAATGCTCAGACATTCCTTCGAAACAAAGAGAATCAGAAAAGGTGGAACTTTGTCCGTGATTTTGCAGAACATCTCTGCTGGGAGTTGTTGCAACAGCAAGATGAAACTGTTGTGTGGAAGAAGACGAGTACAAAGAAGTGCTATAGTGCACAGTAAGGCGCTTATCTCAAACTTATTTCACAAAACAGGTTTCCTTCTGTAGTTGGGTTGATAATATCATCGCAGAGACCATGGGATGATACAACTTCGGAGTTTTCAACTGGTCCTGATAATGCTATATGTATCTTCTTTCTCCAGGAAGCCTGGTTCCGGGCCTCCTCTATGCAGCAAGGGTCACGATGTTGAATCTCCTTATAATCGACCACTTCAAAGCTGTATTGGAGGAACACAAAGCCGCAGATGGATTCCTATTGAACAGAGGAGCTCGTGGCCTTCTAGGGCTAATCTGAACAAGAATGAACTTGCGATATATGGTAAAGTTTTGTGTTCCTACTACACAAATTTGGAACAGCATGCTGGGCGGAATGGGGCTTCTTTGTTTGTAATTTATTAATATGTTGCTATCAGACTTGTCGCCTTGCCTGTGACTATGTGTTAATACTTTTTTTGTATTATTTTTATTTTTATGTTTTTCAGGGTTGCATCCAGAAGAACTTTCTGAAGATGATGTAAATTGGAAAATTGCGGTCAATAATTATTGGTCACTTCTGTCACCATTAATATTTTCGGATCATCCAAAGAGGCCTGGTGATGAGGACCCATCACCACCTTATAACATGCTTAGAAATGTGCTGGACATGAATGCTCATTTTGGTGGGTTTAATTCTGCACTCCTGAGATCTAAAAAGTCTGTGTGGGTCATGAATGTCGTTCCAACAAGTGGACCTAACTATCTTCCCCTGATCCTTGACCGTGGTTTTGTTGGCGTTTTGCACGATTGGTATGCTTCCACTTTCCCACTTTTCTCCTCCCAGTGCCTTGTACAATACTATTGCTTCAGTAAAATTCTTGCCTGGCCTGAGTCCGAGCTTATTGCCCAAAGTGGGGAATATTCTGACCCGAATTCAAATTTCTCTTGCTGCAAAGGAAGTTGATTGTTAATTTCTTTATTTAAGATAATCTTTTTTGTTTCTGGTTTTAGGTGTGAAGCTTTTCCAACATATCCAAGAACATACGATCTAGTGCATGCTGAAGGACTTCTTTCTCTTGAAACTAGTCAACAACGAAGATGTACCATGCTTGACCTATTCACTGAGATCGATCGCATACTTCGTCCGGAGGTACCAAAACCAAATGATCCTCTTCGCTTCTAATTCTTGATATTAAGTTTTAGTGGCTTAGTTGTTGCAGAAAACTCTGATTAGTCACTTAGTAATTGCTGTATTAGGATTAGCTCAGATGACATGAAGCCGTAATTTTTTCGTTGCTAGCATTATTTCTTTTATTTTGGTTGGCCATCAGGTCCTAAATTCCCTGCTTTTTCCAAATGTTGTGGTTTCGAATTTCAGTAGCTACTAAAAAGATTTGAGAATTTCCTGCTCTGCACCAATTTGTGGGGTAGTCTGACATGGTTTTTGCAGGGTTGGGTGATCATCCGCGACAGAGCTCCTCTTATTGAATCAGCGAGAGCGCTGACGACACTGCTGAAGTGGGATGCCCGAGTTATAGAAATGGAGAGTAACAGTGATGAGAGGCTCCTTATCTGCCAGAAGCCTTTCTTCAAGAGACAAGCAAACTAGTTTTTTTGAGTTTTCAAAGATAGCCCAAGAAAGTTAAGTTCACAGTATTCATATTCATTTACTGATTGTTAATTTATCATCATAAAAGCTTCGCCAAAGAATGGGGGGAATCGAAATTTTGAACAGAAGAAACGTAAAAAACCGGAGTATGATCGACCACAACTCCTATGGAGCCGTAAGGCGTTCATAGGGCATTGTAATTATGCAAAATTGAGGCGCAGAGCAGGTGAGAAGTATAGGATTAGTTTTGATTTTCCATGTGATGTCTCATTATACCTATACGACCAAATCATTAAGATTGTGAAGATGTTACAAAAGAATAAGCAAGTGCTGTTTGCTTTTAGTGTATAAAATGCTTGGCATTTCATTTAAAGTAAATGAAAAAAAAAATAATAATAATAATAGAACATATATTTTTTTCTTCAGGCATTTTATTTTCTATTTCCTTTTTGTTTGGGTCAATATTGATTTGTTGAAGTCTGGTTTTCTGAAGCATTCGTGTATATTGCTTCCCAATCGTTAAGGAAAACAAAAATTCTCCATGAAACAAGATTCCATTATAAATTCCACTTCTCTGAACACACACACAAAAGTGGCAATCATATGGGTCACATTTGCATGGGAATGCTTACCCACTGCGAATGACGGAGTGATCACCTATTACTAAACAAATGGAGCACGTATGTCCAGCCAAAAAGTTGTTAAAAAAAAAAATTAGGAACAGCTAATGACTCAATAAAGGTTTCTTCTTTTGCTTCTTCTGTCCTCCATTGTTAGTGCATTTTACGTAGAGCCAGAACATTCTGAAAAAAAAAATAAAAAAATGAACCAATGATACATTTGCTTAGTTTCAAATGTATCCTTGCCCCTCCCAATTGCGTCTCATACGGTGCCAAGACGCTCTTATCTTTTAGTTTTTGACACGAAATGCTTGATGCCCACATAGAAATTTGAAGGAATTCGACCAAAGCTTCCTAGATTTCAATTCTTATTTATATGCAATTTACGATTATTTTTTCCTTTTAAAAAAAAGAGACAAATATCCTTTAGAGTGTATAGGTTTAGATTTTTACTATTTATTCTTAATTAATATCTTTTTAATCAAATAATTATATTAAAAGGGTATCAACTAAAATTGAAGGGTAAAAATTCAAGTTCATGCAATTTAAGGATAAGTTTAGGCCTCATTTATTTTACAAATTTGAGTTTTTAATTTTAATTTTATTACAGTTAAAAATTCTCATAAAAAGTTACATTTTAACTCAGAATAGATGAGTAATTTATTTCGTTTCTTCTTTTCTTATTCGTAAAACTTTTGTGATGGACCTGTGCGCACTTGTGCTTTAGACATTAACCGTTTCTCATAGCTTTGGGAACTAGTCAAACTAATGGTTTGTGCTGGTTTTTGCACTTCTGAGTAGCCCTGTTTTTTATCGGAAATTCGCTTGTGCTAAAGGATAATGAAAATAATTATAAAATCTTTTCAAAACATAACATCAACCGACCTTAGCTCAGTTGGTAGAGCGGAGGACTGTAGTTGGTTAATCATTATCATCAGATATCCTTAGGTCGCTGGTTCGAATCCGGCAGGTCGGAATTTTTTTCTTCCTTTTATTTTATTTTAATTTTAATAATTACAATTTTAAAAGAAATTCGGTAATTAATCAGAACGACTTTTTTTTTTCCCCCAGCATTTTGGCGCCGAAATCTTCCACAGCTCCGCCAATTGTCTAAACCCGAAACCCCCAAATTCAATGGCTCTCTGCTTCTTCCTCTCCAGAATCACCCGTCCCAGAACCTCCCGAACCCTAACCATTCCCATCTTCTCACACTCGTCCCCTTTCCAAAACCCTAATCCCAATCCCAATCCCAATTCCACCCCCCACCTGGCTTCCCGATACTCCACCTCGTTCCTCATCACCAAAACCCCGAAGAAATTCAAGAAGAAGCGCAAGAAGAAGGAGAGCCCCAGAACCAAGCTCGTTCAATCCGAGCCTAACCGAATCCCCTCCCTCGAACGCATCCTCGACCGTGACGCCTTCTTCCGCTTCCTCCTCCGCTCCAAGCAGTTCCTCTCCAAGCAGCCCGAGCGCGTTCTCCGCCTCGACGACGCCGGAAAGCTCCACCGCGAGCTCGGCTTCCCCCGCGGCCGAAAAGTCGCCCGCTTTATTCAGCGCCACCCTCTCATCATCTTCGAGCCCTCCCGCCACTGCGACGGGAAAATGTGGCTCGGGTTCACCGATTTCATGGACGAGCTTCTCGAAGAGGAGCGGGCGATTATGAACGAAATGGAGGCGGATCGGGTTACCAAAGTGAGGAAATTGCTTATGATGTCCGCGGGGAAAAGGATTCCTTTGAGTAAGATTCATCATTGTCGGTCGTTGTTTGGAATTCCGGATGATTTCAGGGACCGGATTGCGAAATTCCCGGATTATTTTAAGGTTGTGGTTGAGGGTGATGGGAGGAGGGTTCTTGAATTGGTGAATTGGGATCAGAATTTGGCGGTGAGTGCGCTCGAGAGGGAGTTTATGGTCGATGAGGAGAAGGCCAAAAGGGCTTTCAAGTTCGCGGTGAAGCACGGGAAGGATTTGGATCTGGACGAGGACGATACGCGGAAATTGAACTTGCTGAACACCCTTCCGCTGGTGTCTCCGTACTCGGACGGTTCGAGATTGGATCTTTGGAGTTTGGAGGCGGAGAAGTATAGGGTTGGTGTTTTGCATGAGTTCCTGAGCTTGACGTTAGAGAAGAGGGCTTCTATACACCACATTGTGGAGTTTAAGGAGGAGTTTAGCTTGACTAAGCATACTTACCAGGTGCTTTTGAAGCAGCCGAGGACGTTTTATCTGGCCGGGACGGAGATGAACTGGGCTGTTTTCTTGAAAGATGCGTATGATGAAAATGGGGATTTGATTAAGAAAGACTCCCAGGTGGTTTTTACTGAGAAGCTGTTCAAGTATGCCCAGATGCAGGAAAATGAACTCGGTTCAGTATTTGATGGAAAATGATTACTGCATAAACTGGTTGTCTTTTGTAACGTGAGTGGATAGATGATGGAAAACTTGTGAAATCTTCATTGATGTTGGATCAGGACTTTTTGAGCTGCTAGGAAAACCGGGTGGCCGGAGAAAAATATGCAAATGAATTTAAGTAGAGATTTGTTCCAATTGTGGGAAAACTGCTGGCATTTGATGTTGGCAGTCTTTTTCTTGCTTGGAGCTGATCTTACGTATGTATATCATCTAAGTAACAGCCTTTGTTTTGTTCAAGACTTCTTTTACGTTGAAATTGGTTGTATTAAAGGCTTTTTTAGAGCGTTTGAAGAGACCCCTAGTGAGTGAGTCTCCCATAAAACTGTATCTGATTGGCTATTTGCTTCCTCAACAGACATTTGTTCCTTGACAGAAACCTGAACAAACTGGATATTTTTAATGTCGATCGAATCTTCTAGCTCTCTCTTACAAGTTTTTCTTTCTCTGCAGTATGGTTGGAGAAGCTGCACAATCTGTAGTACGTTGATGCTGTTGAGTACGAAGATCACTCCATCTGAAGCATTTATTGAAGTTATAACTTATGAATGGACTGGCGGTGATTCTAAGTGCAAAATTGACAGATACGTGTTTTGTTGCTTTCATACGCGGGTTCAAATTTTATTTAGAGCTGGCGCAGAGAATAATTTTGAAACTAATTTTATTTAATTAATTTTTTAAAATATTATTTTAAATATAATAAAAAAATAAAATCAAAATACGTAAAAATTATTTTCAAAAACGAGCACTATTATTTTTGAGTTATTCTCTCTTTTCTTCTGCTAATGAAAGAAGTCGTTTCGAAGCTTACCATCTTATCCCATTGTTTATTCTTTTCACTCTACATTCTGACAATATGCGATTAATTGTTTCCCTGTACATTATTATATACACTAAAGGAAAGGCATTGTGCACTGTTTATACAGGCATAATTTAATATTCATTGTAGAGTAACATTTTTAAAATTTTATTTTTGTCTCTTATTTTTTTAGTGTGAATCGCTAATTTTATCTTTCTTTTTTTTTTCTTCTCTTTTCTCTTCTTGCATATGGACTTTTGTGTCTTTCGTTCTAAGATTGTCACGTGTCGACGCTCGGATGGCTGAAGGAAAAAGTGGTGGGGCCCACCACTGCAAAGCTGTCTCCCCGGCTGAACGCTTTTCTCTTGCGTGTTCTTTTCACTCACGAATCACAGCCATCATAATTTTTGATCAAACAGTTTCAAACTATTTACGGTTTATTTTTTAAATTTTTATTATTTATTATAATTATTTACTATTATGAATTGATTTAGAGTTCAATTTTGTCTGTTTTACCACCGTTTTTTATCAAATTTTTTATATTACTTAAATAAAAATACTATAAATAATACAATAAAATTAAATAAAAATACGCTAAAGTAAAATCAAATAACACCAAATTAAATAAAAAAATAGACAAAACAAAATAAAATTAATTTAAAACACAACGAAATAAGTTAGATTATTTTCTCACTCTCTTTGCTTAAGAGTTTGCCCTTTTATTATTTTCATTTCTTTTATGTCTTCTTTTTTACTTTTTTTAAAAAAACACAATTTGTGTTGGATATTATTTTAAATTAATCATGTGCGTGTAGCGTGCGTTTGAGACTAAAACTAAACAAAGACTAAAAGAGAAAAACATTGAAAAAGAAAGGTGTTGATTTGTGGTCTAATTTTATCTATTCAATATCATTTTACATCAAATTTTCAAAGCCTCTCAAATAATAAAGTATAAATAATTTGAATGAAAAATGAAATTAAATAAAAATACACTAAAATAAAATAAAATCGCACCTTCTTAAATAAATTAAATTAGAAATTACTTCAATGGTTGGAAGAGCAACCCAAGCATTGATCAAAAAACCATTATCTACATTAACAATTGATGAAGGCTTTACTGATCTATTTGTAATTCCACCAATCATTGCTCAGTTAAAAGGACAAACAAAAATCTTACAAGTTTATTTTCAACAAAGGGGAGCACAAATAACTACAACTGTTTCAAAAATATTTGAAAATGTTCATCTTTCAATATCACTATCACAAATATCAGGTGCTACAACAATAGATCCAAAAAGATCGATCAAAAGGTAAGATATATTTACTAATTATATCAATTATCAATAAAAATCAACATTTACTATTTTGAATAATATCTTAACAATTTTTAATCAATTCAGTTATGAACTAAAGGTAACAGACCCACCCAGAAACGTTTAAGAATCAAATAATATAACTATTTCTAAATTCTTTAATCTACACTAATTAAAGATTTTAACTTTCTTAATTATTATTATTATTAATTTCTTAAAAAATTTGTATTTTACAGTTAAAAAGAACCAAAAAAAAATAAAACAAAAATTATAATACATTTTAATAAACTTTTAACTAAAATACTATATATATATATAAACTAACCTTATATTATAAAAATTTATAACTTTCTATATAATATAACAGTATTTTTTATGACAATGTGCGAATTTTTAGTTAGTTACATCTCTATAAAACTTGATTATTGACGCACAAAGATCGACCATTTTCGAAATCTTATTGCATCTTAAAGTTTGACATTGACAATGAACCTAACTTTCTATTACGATATGTATATAGAAATCTGGGCTACATCTGGATTTCGTTTAGGGCAAAATAAATAAATAAATAAAAGTTTCTCCCTTTCGTATTACTTTTCTCGTATTTAATCTTTCTTTAAGTCTCATTCATTTCGTGAATTTAAATTGAGATGTGATATTTTTTAAAAAAATTTTACTGTAATAAAAAAAAATTAAATGACATTTTTTAAAAATTTTTTACTATAAAAATTTTAAACTGAAAATTTAAATTTGCGGCCTTATTGACTTTCATTCATTCAACCAATTCTACAGGAGAAACAGTTTTGACTTCCGTACTTCCCGGCATTAAGTAGGCCCGAGGATACACGGCGACAAGAATCATAACAAAAGGACAAAGATGCTCAACTTTTTGCTATAACGTTTCCGTAATAACAAAAGGATAAAGATGCTCAACTTTTTGCTATAACGCTTCCGTATGTCCCTCCTCTGTGACCCAGTGGATCTTCCTGTAAATCTTCCTTTCGGCCACAGAACTGATGTTGTCTTTGACTAATTCAATAAAGCCGGTGATGCCTATTTGGTCGCTTTATGTGAATTTCGTTTGTAACGCAAAACAACGAGATTTCATTAACTGTCGCGTCGCTATTTCTTTGCACGCACGGAGAATACATATTTCGCTTGTATTTCAATTTCTTTTCTTGCTTAGTTAGAATTCCCATATGTTTTCTATTCCACTTATTTTATTCCTTGATCCTAATCTATCTTGACGAGTCTCAAGTCTTTGATGTTCTCAAGTCTCACAAGCAATCAGCTAACGAATGGAGGCTGCATAACGCACTTGCATTATTCTTTTGAAAATATTTAAATTATTGGATTTTAAAGACGATCAGTTCATTTTCATCCGAAGGCACGTCAAGGCAGTCTATAGTATTATTACAAAACTCAAACTGAACTGCAAGGACTTATAAACATGTTAAAACCTCAAACAAGAGAAATGGTTTGACAATAGAAGCAAAAAAAGGAGAAAGGTAGTACCAAAAAGTGGCGACATAAGAGACCTACATCTGACGGGACGAAGAAGCAATAGCAGCTGATGTCTTCGCTTGGGGCATGTTGTGATGAGCTCTGCTCTTTGACCTGTGTCTGCTTTTATGCGCAACACTGGCGCTGCTCCTGTGTGCGCTGACGGATGCCCCAAGCTGGCTAACCCTCTTTCCTGCCCTCCTCCTCGAGTTATATCCGCCATTCCCGAGCGCAGCTTTGGCAACACTATCAGTGAGCACTTCCCTTGCCCTTTGCGGCTTTGTGGGCTGCTTGTTCAAGTAAACAAGCTTTGGGAGGAGACCACAAGCTGCCTTGCGCAGCTGGTCCTCGCTGACATTGCTCTGAATTGGATTCCCTAGCAGATTCATAGCCTGCAGTGAATTATAGTTTGCCACAAGCTGGCCCAGAGCCTTTGTCGTCGTTATTTTGTTGAAGCTCAGGTCCAAAACTGTAAGCTTTAGAAGCCTATGTAACCCCTCAACATCACTAATTTTGTTCCCGGCAAGATAGAGCTCTTTAATTAGTTGACAGTTTGATAATCCTGATACAGAAATATAATACATCATTAGAGGAAATTGTTTCTCCTTGTAAAAGAAGTCTCGCGAAATGACAAGGTTCTAAGCTTACCATGTCCAATTCTCGATATTCGGTTGTAACTGAGATCAAGTACTCGCAACCGGGTCAGGTCTCTTAGTCCTTCAATGGTGCTGATCTTGTTTCTTGACAAGTTGAGTGTGTGAAGCCCTTTTGGCAGTGATCCTGGAGTTATGTGAACTGCAATAGAGAAAGAACCAAACACCAAGGAGCTCAATTAGTACTAGTCGATAAGATTATGTCCGTCATTCAATTTCATTTTTCCTGTGGCATTAGCATACCTATGAAGTTGTTTGACAAATTGACAGATCGGAGACTGGTGAAGCATGATATTGTGGGAATGGCTTTTAAGCCAATACCAGCAATGTGGGCCACAGTTGAGGAAGAATTTAGGGACTGAATGACGCTATTGGCATGTAAGATCTCCTCTGTGAGGTTGATATCGGAGCGCCTAGTTGCGTGGCTTGGGAATCTTGCCTGTGATGTAGAGGTCACAGGAGGAGAGCGTGGGAAGACAGTTCCATCATTCTTCTCATCATCATCATTAAGTTGAAGCGAGGGGTGTGGCTCAAGATGTTTGACCCACTCTTCCACTCTAGCAAATGGAGAGGGCGATTCTGTTGGGAAAGCAAGCCACTGGTTCTGAGGCCACAAACCAGAAACTCCAGTATGAAAACCGTCCCAGCTCTGCCCATCGTTTTCATTGTTTGCGCGCCCTTTGTCCAGAGACTCTCCAGTAAAAGATCCAGGTGATTCCATCTTGCTGAACTCCGTACCTCTGTTTGGTTCGAGAGTATCCGAGCAGTACCCACCTTGCTGGTTCAAAACAGCATTGGTAGTAGAAACTGTCCGCTGTTTTGCAGTCCATGGTGCGTGCAGGTTCCTGTGGCTCCAGAGGAACAATTTCCACCATAACTTTCTACTTCTAGATGGGAGAACTTGGCTTGAAGAATGCTTCTTAAGCATCACTTTATCAGCACTGACATGGGTCAAAACGGACCTAGGGCTGCCGGGACACATGTCCTTCCTCATTCTCTCCGCTAATTCCTGCAATTTTTCAAAAGATTGAGACTTTGAAGGAGGCAGCTGATCCGCTATCTTTCTGATCACGTCACTTGTCTCCAAATTTGAGCATGAACGCTTGAGATTCGGAGAAGCCCAAAATTCCACCTTCTTGATCCCTGGATCACTAACATGCCCACTTTGCATCAGGTCAACGTCTCTATCAACCTCTTTCTCCATTATGTCCTCAAATTCATTCAATTCAGCGTCAAAGGACTTGGAACATCCTTTGTACCTCGAAGGGAAATCTTCAGCTGGGTTGATTTCATGGACGTTAAGATCAAAGTCAGACAAATTTCGCTTGATTGACTTCTCTTCATGCTCATCTTCCCCTTCATAAGCTACCTCTGCTGCTTCACACCCAATAGGACTCTCATGGCTGATCACCTTTATGTTGCACTCAGAATTCTTCTCGATTCCTAACGGCAAAGGAACATCGAAAGTAGTTGACTTCAACTCATCCGTCTCAAAAGGTTTCACAGGCTGTTGAAGCCTTACCTGTAGGGTGCTTAGCGCCTGGTTGAAATCAACAGCTTTTGCGGATTCCTCATTGGCCTAAATCAAATAAAGGATAATGGTTATCAATCTTCAAAAATCACCAACTAGTATAACCATTACAATTCAGAAAATAACATTTATTCTCACCTTAACTTTCTTCTTCCGACCAACAATTCCAGAGAAGCAATTGAGTTTGGCCATCTTAAACAATCAACAAAAATCCGCCAACTTCAAAGAAACCCGACCATTCAAACCCTTTACACTTAAGTCTGAATCTTCTTCTTTCTTCTTCTTGTTGTTGAAATACTCAACCAAAATGCTCACATCTCTAACGGGTCTTAACTTTTGAGCCTCTACGACTTACAAATTCTTGGGAAGTAGAGGTTCACATTAGGAGATATATTTTCATGAAAAGTTAGCCATAATCAATGGGAAGGCACCAAACAAGTGATTGAGGCCAATTGAAACAAAGTCGAGGACCGGAAAACAAAGGACATACGCCTGCTCCGGCTTTAGCAAATATCTCTAGATTGTCGGCCAGAGTTGTATCTCCTCAAGCTTCCCTCCAGAAGCTTCGCCAAAATTAGTGGATTGTTCTAGACCAACCCTGTTAAATCCCGACCAAGAAAAAGGAATCAAAACCCAGTTTCCCTAGCAAAATTCAATTAATAATTTAACATCATCACCAAAACAAAAAAAAAACAAAAAACATTCTTAATTTCAGGAAACTACTCCAAATTATTTTCCCAATAAATCGAGATTCAATCTCATGATCATCAAGTCAAACAAGAACACATAAAAGAATCCCACTTTACTCATCCTTCCCAGAAAAAAGAAAAAGAAAAAGCATGCAAAACATTCTACAATAAATAATCTTGTGAAAAAAGAAAAGAGAGACAAATTTTCAGCCTACCAAATATCGAGCGCTACAAACAATGAACTGTGCGGAGAGAATCCCATTCGCAATTTTAGGAAAGAGAAAAAAAAAAGTTGAAAGAACGGAATAAAAAGCTGTACCTTTTGAACTCCGCCAGATCGCCAATCGGAATCTGTAGTCTGCAAACAAGAAAAAGAAAAAAAAAATAGATTTTAAGCCTAACATTCTACAATAAATAATCTTGTGAAAAAAGAAAAGAGAGACAAATTTTCAGCCTACCAAATATCGAGCGCTACAAACAATGAACTGTGCGGAGAGAATCCCATTCGCAATTTTAGGAAAGAGAAAAAAAAAAGTTGAAAGAACGGAATAAAAAGCTGTACCTTTTGAACTCCGCCAGATCGCCAATCGGAATCTGTAGTCTGCAAACAAGAAAAAGAAAAAAAAAATAGATTTTAAGAGAGAGAGAGAGAGAGGAGACGGTTGTGGTGGAGAATGAAGAGTGAGATGGAGGCGGTGGGTGGTCAGGTGGGAGGGAGGGAGGGAGATGAGTTTGGGTTGTGGTGGGGGTCAAGTTTTTGGCTGGAAACAGCTAGAAATATATTTTTCAAAAGATTGAGACTTTGAAGGAGGCAGCTGATCCGCTATCTTTCTGATCACGTCACTTGTCTCCAAATTTGAGCATGAACGCTTGAGATTCGGAGAAGCCCAAAATTCCACCTTCTTGATCCCTGGATCACTAACATGCCCACTTTGCATCAGGTCAACGTCTCTATCAACCTCTTTCTCCATTATGTCCTCAAATTCATTCAATTCAGCGTCAAAGGACTTGGAACATCCTTTGTACCTCGAAGGGAAATCTTCAGCTGGGTTGATTTCATGGACGTTAAGATCAAAGTCAGACAAATTTCGCTTGATTGACTTCTCTTCATGCTCATCTTCCCCTTCATAAGCTACCTCTGCTGCTTCACACCCAATAGGACTCTCATGGCTGATCACCTTTATGTTGCACTCAGAATTCTTCTCGATTCCTAACGGCAAAGGAACATCGAAAGTAGTTGACTTCAACTCATCCGTCTCAAAAGGTTTCACAGGCTGTTGAAGCCTTACCTGTAGGGTGCTTAGCGCCTGGTTGAAATCAACAGCTTTTGCGGATTCCTCATTGGCCTAAATCAAATAAAGGATAATGGTTATCAATCTTCAAAAATCACCAACTAGTATAACCATTACAATTCAGAAAATAACATTTATTCTCACCTTAACTTTCTTCTTCCGACCAACAATTCCAGAGAAGCAATTGAGTTTGGCCATCTTAAACAATCAACAAAAATCCGCCAACTTCAAAGAAACCCGACCATTCAAACCCTTTACACTTAAGTCTGAATCTTCTTCTTTCTTCTTCTTGTTGTTGAAATACTCAACCAAAATGCTCACATCTCTAACGGGTCTTAACTTTTGAGCCTCTACGACTTACAAATTCTTGGGAAGTAGAGGTTCACATTAGGAGATATATTTTCATGAAAAGTTAGCCATAATCAATGGGAAGGCACCAAACAAGTGATTGAGGCCAATTGAAACAAAGTCGAGGACCGGAAAACAAAGGACATACGCCTGCTCCGGCTTTAGCAAATATCTCTAGATTGTCGGCCAGAGTTGTATCTCCTCAAGCTTCCCTCCAGAAGCTTCGCCAAAATTAGTGGATTGTTCTAGACCAACCCTGTTAAATCCCGACCAAGAAAAAGGAATCAAAACCCAGTTTCCCTAGCAAAATTCAATTAATATTTAACATCATCACCAAAACAAAAAAAAAAACAAAAAACATTCTTAATTTCAGGAAACTACTCCAAATTATTTTCCCAATAAATCGAGATTCAATCTCATGATCATCAAGTCAAACAAGAACACATAAAAGAATCCCACTTTACTCATCCTTCCCAGAAAAAAGAAAAAGAAAAAGCATGCAAAACATTCTACAATAAATAATCTTGTGAAAAAAGAAAAGAGAGACAAATTTTCAGCCTACCAAATATCGAGCGCTACAAACAATGAACTGTGCGGAGAGAATCCCATTCGCAATTTTAGGAAAGAGAAAAAAAAAAGTTGAAAGAACGGAATAAAAAGCTGTACCTTTTGAACTCCGCCAGATCGCCAATCGGAATCTGTAGTCTGCAAACAAGAAAAAGAAAAAAAAAATAGATTTTAAGAGAGAGAGAGAGAGAGGAGACGGTTGTGGTGGAGAATGAAGAGTGAGATGGAGGCGGTGGGTGGTCAGGTGGGAGGGAGGGAGGGAGATGAGTTTGGGTTGTGGTGGGGGTCAAGTTTTTGGCTGGAAACAGCTAGAAATATAAAGAAGCAAGAAACAGGAAAGAAAAGGGGATATTCTTTTTGAAAAGAGTTTCCATCTAGTATAAGACATTGTACGCGCATGTAACACGGGGAATAGGATGCCCTAAACCTAACCATTAGTATTTAATTATGATAATGATTGGCATTCTTTATTTTATAAAAACATAAGCAAATTAACATTTTAGCATAATTTAGAGCTTAACACCAGAACCACGCCCTCACATTTTCTTATTGTTATTAAACATATTTTTTGGGCTTTTAATGGAACGTTTGATTTATAGATTCAAAATTATGATTCATAATTTTAATTTTTAAAATTTAAATTTGTTATAAGATAAAAATACAGTAAAAAATTAAAATCATAATTCAGAACCAAGGACGTCCCATAAATCATTGACATTCTTTCGTTTATAAAACATAAGCAAATTATTATTATTCAAGAGACGTTTGGTTCATAGATTAGAATCATGAGATTATAATTATTTGTTATTTACGTGTATTTTTTGTAAGAAAAAATACTATAATAAACTATGAATCATGATTCAAATCAAGGTACGAATCAACTCAGTCTTACATTTATTTCCCTTGGCAACCATGCTAATTTAAATATAACAAGCAATTTAGGATACCACGTAATTAAGGCGCGGCATCACATGCTTTCTTTTGTTTTTGTTTGTATCAAACTGCTTCTACGTTGGAGAAGGGGCAGACCCCACATGGACTTGTTGGCTGTCCTTTTCTTTTCTTTGTTCTCGAAAAATTTAGGCAGGGTTTTTTTTTTTTTTTTTTTTTTTTAAAAGCAAGTACTTGGTACTTGGTAGTTCAGATAAATTTGCTATGTACTTGGTGGTGCGTGGCATTTACTGACTTCAGTCAAATTTAACATCAAGGTAAAATATAGATATTTTTTATTTTATTGATTTAAATTTTCAGTTAAATTTATACTTAAAAATTTATAGAAAATATCACATTTAATTTTTTTATAACAGTTAAAAATTTTTAAAAAATATCACATCTCAACTTGAATTAAAATTTAAATCTACAAAACGAATGAAATGATATATTATATCACGAATGGATGAGTATCTTACTGTTTAGAATAATATCCTATCAAAGAATTCTATTTTTTCACACCTACTTGCAAATTTTTTTGATTTTCATAGGCCAAA